AGAGCTCTAGATAATACTGTATATTAAATTCGATTTTACGATGGATTTCCTCTAACCGGGAAGACTGTGTTTGCATACATTTTGGCAACATTTCTTGAATCGCACTTTTCCTGGTTGTTTGACAAATGATGACGAATTACTTTTTTATGCTGTCACAGTATTTTCATTGTTCAGTTAATCGTTTAATATCCGACCCGTAATTGATTTTCTGTCGCGCGGTCGGCCATGGTGTGAGCATCAATTTCTTCGCGAGAACACCGAATTTACATAGCAACTGAAGGTAACTTATACTCTTGGAGCTTCAAACGGGTCTTCGCCGAATTAAAATAATTTATTATTTGATTATTATTAATCATAGTTTATCATTTGGGATTAAAACTGCATCGGAAATGATCACCGCTGAGTGCAAACGATTTTTTTTTCTCGTTTTTGTAAGCGTTTAAAACACGGAAGAGCTGGGGGTCATTTGTGTTTTGTTTTACAGAAAGCGGTGATATATTTTCGTTTCCTGCTTCTACGCTTTGATAAGTGCAAGTACTTGACTTGAAGAGATGTCATCCGACGGAGGTGAACGAGATGTCGACCGGTCGAAGTTCTTGAAAGGAACGTAAGTTATAATTTAATGACTGGGCCCTACAAATGCCGGGATTCGTCTGCATGGTGGCAGGATACTTGGATCAGTCTGCTGGACTTCACAGCACGTTTCACTCCTTCTCCATTTTTTTCCTCTCTTTCTTCCACTGTGGAACCAGAATTAACACGTTACGTGCCGAGAGCCACCCATGACTCGCGTGAGCTCGTGAATCGGGTCTCTCGCGAGAACAAGAGCCTGTCCCAAAATCGTGGCACCCAGGAATTCGTTTTGACTCACGAGTGACTCGCATTCATGCTGCATGTGACGTGAGGGACCACACAAAAGCCCTTTGAAGGCTCACGGAGACGATACCCCCAGTGTTTCGGGTTCTTTAAAGTAGAGGAAAAAAAGCCCCGGGTTTTATTCACAGCCGCTGCGACACGTTTACCTTCTGGATGTGCGACGCCGCTTTGGAGACGTCTGACGAGCGTGCGGCCCGCATGGTCAAGCCGATCATGACTCTGCTTTCGAGCTCTGACTGCTTCAAACTGTTTGCATTTCTTGGCACCGTGTTGTCAAGTATCAACACTTCAGCCCGCGACAAACCCGCTGGTGCTACCTCGCATCAACTCAACGACTTCATATGTTTCACTTTAAACTCAGTTTCCTCGTCAAGCCAGAATATGGTCCCACTAAAATTTCGGACTGAGAATCCTTCCTGCTTTCGCTGTTGCAATGATGCATGTTTTTTTTTAAGGATGCCTCCCTCACTTGCGAGTAAATGACGAAAATGTGCTCAAATCTTGAAGTCAACCAGCGAAAACAAAGTTCCATAATCTGAATTTAATTTGAGGTAACTCGCCTTGCTCAGATCAACATTACTCATCATGTCTACGGAATTCCTAGTGAAATTGAGGCCAGCACTATAAGTATCAGACATTTGAAAATCAGAAATAAAAAGAGAAGCGCGCAACTGAAAATGGTTGATATTTTGGGAAATAATTCCATTGAGCCATTTCGGAAACTTCTTGATCTTCACGATTTGCGCTGATTTCATTGATATCACAAATTATCAGTGAATAATTTCTTACCTCTTCCATTATTATTTTTCCATGTTGTTTGTTAAACCGTAAGAAGGCATTGATCGGAATAAATTTAGGTTTAATAGCGTTAGCCTTAGCTTTGAAAGCCGTCCAGCAACTTGGAAAATTTTGAAAATTTTAGATGGAGGCATTTCAAGAACCAGGAAAATTACAGCTGCGCTACAAATCTGGGAAGTGTGGCAGTTGAAGAAAATCTTAAAAGTGTATTTCCGACGTGATGCTAAAACGCCCTTCAAGTGTGGCACATTGATCAATAATTTATACCCATGAGTTTGTGTTTTTGTTGGCGCTCTGGAGAAATTGAGACTCGACAGAAAAGCTGATGAATCCATGCAGTATAACCACCCGGATGTTGGTACGGAATTGAAACAAGACGCAATTGGAATTCAAGCACTATTTTTTCTTTCAAACTTGGACTCCATTTCTTTTACACAATGACATCGAAATATCGACTGAATCTGAACAATCGAAGCATCAAGCAGTACTCGGGGGTATGACAGCGTTCTGGGACTTGAGATGATCGGGTTCCAACGCAATACAGCCACCAACGGCGTCGCGGAGCGAGCGTAAAACGCGCATCGAATCTGCGCTGAGTGGATCTGATTCGAGACAGATTTAGAAAAAAAATCAGATTGTCAACAAAATAAGCGTGAATAGTCCGGGTCAGGCCTTGGGCTAAAAAATGTAAAATAAATAGCGTTTTAAAGGTTGAATGAACGGAGTGAACGGCGAGGCGACAAGAACCTCGAGGTCAACGCAGTCCTCTAAAACGCAGAAATCAAGGGACTCCTCTTGATTCCACTTGTGCTGCTTAAAACACAGACAGGGGATCCATTCGGAGAATTTCTCAACGAAAGCCTCGGGTTTTCAAGATTAATGATTTAAAACTATCCAAACAAAAAAAAGGTATGAAACTTTCCGATCGGTAGCCTCAACTGACCCACGCTGTCATAGCCATCATGAGAGATCTATCCACGCATTGAATCGTTCGCTTCGGAGCTTCAAGTTCCGGAACGCAAAGGAAAAAAAAGAACACCAGGGGAAACGGAAACACTTGACCCATGAAGCATCGTGCCGAATGCTGCTTCAAACAATATTAGTCCAACAGCGCGAATTAAACATGGCGACAAGAAAAAGAAAAGAAAATATACGGGAGTACGAAATCGCGAACACACGAGGTAAGCTGTCAAATACTGTGGTCCACGTCAGAGTGGACTCCCCCCCCCCCCCCCCCCACCGTGGAAACANCGGCAGAGTGGATTCCCCCCCCCCCCCCCAAAAAAAACGCCAAGGATTTGCTGACATACATGGCACCTTGTCAACAAACACAGCTGATCTTCCCGGCAAATAGAAACGAGCGCAACACAGGGAGACCCGCAAAACTCTCCTCCAACCCTTCGTTCACCGTAAAACACAGTTTTCGAAGCTTTTTTTGCCTTCTTTTCAGTCACGTGGAGCGAGAAAAGGGACAAAACTGCTTAAAGGAAACCTGACAGCGAATCTCGTTCCGGCGAAACACGGAGTATAGCTTCGTCGCGCATCTACGACAGTAAATCCCATTATTTAGTTTGTCTTTAATTTTCCCGACACACACAAATTTCGATAGTTATAAAGCTCCCACGTCCCGCCAAATGGTATTTATCACAGTTGAGAAGTGGACACAACTACCGATTTCTTTGAAATCAGTTCGGATGGAGCATCCTGTCCGCGGGAAAATTGTTCTGGAGAACGTCGGAATATGAATCAGAGCGTTTCGACCGAGCCGCTGTCCCCCTCGACTAATTCTTTTCTTTTTCCCTTCGTCCTTGTTTGCCACATGATTGATGGCATTCGACGCATTCATGAAAATGTCCGAGATTCTGTGGCTGTCGACGTTCGTTGATCTCGTAGAAAGAAAGAAAAAATAAAACATCCCGCGGCTGCGTCCTCCAAACATTTCGATGAGATCAGGGAGCCCGTCGCGGGGCTCGATTTTTCTCCATTTCTATAACATTTTTTTCGAGATTCAAGACTGGGGTTTTCGAGCAACACCGAAATCGACTCAGTCGATTCCGATTTCCCCCCACGCCGTTACTTAGAAACACAATGTTCGTTCCAATTACGCACCGCGAGACACATAATACCAATCTACCCTATCGGAAGGAAGTTTCTCGCCGACGCGGCCAGGGGCAGGACCCTCGCACAACGCCTGCTGACGATGGCTGCCAGCAGGTCATGAACAGCAGAGGGCTGGATCACTTATCTGCTTCAGAGCCCCTATTGCCTGTCACACTTCTGTCTTATACACGAAAAAAAAATACCTACTGACCTTTTGAGCTGCCTCGGAGAGAGAAAAAGGAGAATCGCACGCTTTAAACTTACGTTCTGGTGCACTTCATTCGACAGTTGTTTTGACATGCTTAGTTCGATTTCCATTAAGCAGAATGATACCGTAATTATGCAATTATAGACCGCGCGCAACTCAAGGTCACACGCTAATTTTGGGCAGTGAATTACGGGGCAAAAGCAGCATTAGCCACAAAAGATCCAAATTTCTGAGAAAAAATACGGCCTATGCACTGGCCAAAAACTCGCGATATTCCTCAAATAAATGAGTTTTCGAGATGCTGGCTTTTTCGAGCATATGCCGCATTTACTCGTATGAGACTATGGCACGATCTATACTCGAAAATCTCACGTAAATGTTCCCAAAAGCTGCTCAAATGCGGTCCCAACTGAAACATTTCAAGTTCAAACCACACCCGCATCTTTTTGGGCGCGTGATCTGAAATCGAGTGAACAATAAGTTAAGTCAATTAGCGTTGAACTAAATTATAGAGCACCATGTTTTCAACTAGTGATCTCGTTCAAATAGCCAGATGTGCGTCGTGCTAATCCTTGGTTTAATCCTCCAGGGGTTAATTTCTAGATTTTCTTGCAGAGCTATCATAAATAAAACTTTCCGTATTTTGGCGTTTTCATCACACAACACGCTGTATTTCAATTTATGGCTGACTATTAGTGTGATACTTTTTCTAATCGTCGTCCGAAGCAGAAGCATGATCTTACCACGAAAAAAGAGTAAGTTAACAACGCTCCGTGTGGAACAGGGCTGGAATTTACATTTGATTCTCTGGTAACAAAAACTTGCAGCGTTCGCCTTGACTCGGTCGGAATAAAAAATAACGACAATAAAGCGAAGCGCCTGCCTCCGACGGGGAAAAAATAAAACAAATAAAATGCAAGCCCGTGAAATCGAAAGTAAAGCTCTGGCCGCGGTCGCGGGTTTCCGAAAACGGGGTTGTTGTAGTCCCTCACCTAGGCCGGGATCAGCGGAGTGGATGTCATATTTGCTTGATCACGACGCCCTGGGAGAAGCCCGGGAGCTGCTGCGGGGACGCCGACGCCGTCGGCGACTCCTCGGCCTGCGACGCGGGCACGGAGGACACAGGGGGCGGACACGCACCGGACATGGCGAGCTGGTGCGGTGACGGCTGTCCGGCCAACAGGGACTGGGACAAGAAAGCGTTTGAGTACTGCTGAACGTTCCTGAACGCGAAACCCAGGTCGGACGCCGACGGCGCCAGGCCGAGTCCCGGTGGCAACGAGAAACCACCGGGCGCAGACAGGAGCGGTGAGTGTCCGGCTGGTGAGTGTCCCTGGGCGAGAGAGTCGCGCGACCCGGGCGAAGACGCCATGCTCATGGGCGCCACCGACGTCGGCAACACCCCCGGGCGTGGCAAGTAGTTCATGGCGCCCAGAGAAGGCGAGTGCACGAAGCCCGGCACGTAGGGATACACGGACACGCCGGGTGGACACATGCTGGCAGCCGGGGAAACCGGGCTGGCTACCCCAGGGTGTCGCACGCCGTTCGCCGCTGCCAGAGCCGCTGCAGCGGCGTAAGCGTACAAGGGATTCAAGTGCGGCGCCCACGTGCCGCAACCCAGACCGTAAGGGTTATGTCCGCCAGCAGCGCCGCCGAAAGCCACGGTGCGTCGGAAGGCTGCGAGGCGCGTGCGCGACGCCGCCGTGGACCTTCGTCGCAACTTGCCGGTAGTACCACCGATGAACACGTCTTCGCTGCTGGGATCCAGCATCCAGTAGTTGCCCTTGCCCGGGTCATCGTAATGCCGTGGCACCTTGACGAAGCACTTGTTGAGACTCAGGTTGTGTCTGATGGAATTCTGCCATCCCTGTTTGTTCTCCCGGTAGTACGGAAAGTTCTTGAGGATGAATTCGTAGATGCCGTTGAGCGTGAGTCGCTTCTCGGGGCTGCTGCGGATCGCCATCATGATGAGAGCGTTGTAGCTGTACGGCGGCTTCTCGTGTTTCTTTTTCTCCGCACTGTCGCGCTCTGTGGCAGTCGCGTCGCCATTGTTGCCGGCTTTCGACGCCGCGTTGGACGACTCGGAAGACGTCTTCTCGTCGTCGGCGCCGATCCCATCGCTGTTGGCGGCGTCTTCGCTGTCGTCGTTCCGCGTCTCGACGCTCGTCACGTCAACCTCGATGTCGTCGTCACCCGATGGGATGTCGTCGGCACAGGCCAGGAAGCTCGATGTGTCGGACGTCAGTCCGGCGATCATTTTGGCGTGTTTGGCGTGGGCTTGTTTTCCGGTCATTATGACTGCGGCGTGGTCGGGGCCGAGCTTATTTTTCCTGCTCCCGGCCGGAACGGTTTCTTGCAGGATAGAGCTAATATTGAAGGAAGTTCGGCCGGGGGCCTTTTCCCCCTCGGATGGCTGCGATATCATTGGGTCGTCAATATTCACCATGGTGTCAAAGTCCGAGTCACTCATGAATTCTCTGTGCAACGATCATGAAGACGTTGCGCCCATTTCATGAGTGGATGTGTACACCCAGAGCTGCCAAGTTTTTTTTTTTTTTTTTTTTAGATAACTTGCCAATCCACGCGCGGTTCCGTCCTCACTCTCGAAACGAGACCCCGCCTGTGGATCCTTCGAGTTCAAACCGCTCAATCCCGAAGCACTTTTTCTTTCAAATATTTTATCACGTCGACGAATGTTCTCTTTCGTTCCTGCCAAAAATGTGACCAGCGTTTAATCCACTGTTCCGACCGCGATAAACAAACCGAGAAGCGCATAAACGGGATATTGGGCAATTTGTGAGGACCGGCAATCAAAAAAAGAAATTTTACGCGGTTTACTTCCACTTTATCGCTCTAATCAAATTTTGGTTCCCCGAGCATTCGATTTTGATGCGACAATTTGAGCTGCGAGTCAAGTAACTTTCGTGTTTCCTTTATTCGCTGCTGAGGCGGGGGACTACTTGAATGGAGTTATGGCGCATTTTCGCAGCGAAAAAATTATAGAATAATTACCTTGCTCGTGCTTGGAAAATTAAGAGTTTCTTGAGAACTTTTACGACTCGAGTGCATTTCACTTTTGTTTATGGCGGAGCGATTTTTAGATTAAAAGCCTTTAAAGTGGGCAATCTCCAATTTTATCCTCTCCTGAAACTAAGCGCGTCCTAATTTTCGCGGAGTTCTCGGTCTTGCAATGAATTCGTCAGAATGTTCCATTTCCCTCACTTCATGTGCATCATAAGGGGTTCGTATGGGTGAGGTTCAAGTGAGCGATGGATTCGTCTTGCGAACGTGATTGGTGGTCAAATATCGCACAAGCTTTGGGGCACAAAATTTATCAGACGGAAAAATTTCGACGAAGACCGCAGAAACTTTTGGAGACACAAAATGTGCTTTCGCACATCAAATTCATATGATTTCTCTCATATTTTTGACATTGAATCGAGACTATAGCATAACGATGCCAGTTTTTGGCGTGATGCGCGATTGCAGTCGTTTAATTGAATGATTTCGGCATACGAAACATCCCTTTTGCAGAGTCAGATGATGTGACAAAATCGTGCACTCGGTATTAGATATTTCATTAAATGCTAATCATTCGGATATATCTGCATCTTGATATGGCCAGAGGCATTTGCGAGCACATATAGAAAAAGCCGTAGGCCGAACACCGTGTTTCACGCCGATGAATTTCACATGAGGGACATAAATAATGCAGAATGGACTTAGGCTTGCTGAGATAATACATGCTAGGATTCTCACTTCGGAAATGATGGTTCGGCACGAATGAAAATCATGTGGATCCGCATGAAACTTTAAAAGGGTTTGAAAAATCACCTGGAACATTCCACCGGGGGAAAAAAAGAGTTGAGAAGCCACAGAATGGAGAGCCGACTCGTCTGAAGATGCGACCACATCACTCAAGTTTCGCGATGTTAATGGCGAGACCGAAGAGATTCGTCCGCGATTTTCTCTCGCAGATCCCGCGCGGGGATAGAGGCGCCGAACTGTCCCTGCTTCCCTCTGGTTTACCAGTGCGCGCGGTGGCTGTACAAACACGATTAATCGCTCTGCACCCCGACCGGGCTAACCCGGGCCGGCGCCGGGGACTCCGCCTCCCTGTTCAGCGCGGGTACCAACCTCCCCGACACGGCACGGACCAATCGGACGGGCGGCCGGCCTGCAATGGCCGCCCCTGTCGGTGCCGACGGCCGCTCCCCCTCCCCCTCCCATCAATTACATATACGCGCAGGTGAGGTTTGAGTCTCTCCCGGAAGCCCAGCAGAGGCTGTCAAGATAGAGATTTACTGTGATGGATACTATCCATCTCATGAATGCTCAACTTGCGAGCCCTCGCGCAGATAAACGAGCGGAGCCTGGCTTCTCAGATCGCCATTGCGTCTAACCTCTGTGACCCAAGCGCGTCGGGTGGCGAGATGAGGTAGCGGTCGTGGGAAGCCAAAGAAAATGAGAGAAAGAGAGAGAATCGGGTCACGGGAGCCAAGGGTCGCGTAATTGTCAATGGGGAAACACAGTTCGCTCGGACAGCAACACAACAAGGGAATTTTTCCTGAAGTCCGTCGAGCGATTGCTTGCCGTAGGTTTTTTCCTTCTCATTTTTATTCCTCCCTTATTCGTTCCCCCATTCAGGCACCCCAGTTTACAAACTGCCTTCGTGATCCGGTCTTTGCCGCCAACGGAAGCCCTTATCCAAACAGTTCCTTTAATAAAAAACTAAACGCGATGAAAATTGCGTACACACTAAACCGAGTTTTGAAATGTTTGTTGCTGAATGCAGCGAGTGATTATCTTGAATGGAGTGCACGCAAAGTTTTCTGTCAATTCATCCTGATCCCAACATGTCAGTGGTTAAACATTTTCCACCCCAACATCACGTAAGCTGCCACAAAACCCGGAAACATTCACATATAGAGCGATTCCGGAATGGCTACCTCACTCATTCCTCCAGGCTTTTCCTGTTTTTTTTTTCTCTTTCGTTTTAAACAGCAATGACAGAGAGTGACGTTAATGAAAGTAGCAAAAACGAAAAAAAAAACGCCGCAATCTTTCTGTGGCGATGAACATCAAATAACGCGCGGGAGATATGTATTCGCATGTGTTGCTAACGCGGCATTTTCCGCGACTTCCGGCGGTCTTCTCGAAAATATTAATACATTTTCCCCATTTTTTCTGTTGTGCTGCACGTGGATTTTTTCATGTTCCTTTACAACGACTCTAACGAAACCAAAAACTTTTCTTTGATTGAGAATTGCATTAAGGAGGAGCTAATCACAGACACTAATGAAGGTTAATGATTGTAGTCCGAAAGAATCTTTGTGTTAAAAATATTGCTGTGAACAAAAGCATCGCTGACAACACCTACTTCAACATTTTTATCACTGAATAGTGCATTAAAAACTCGATAGGAATTATAAAATTAGGGGAAATGCTTCCCTTTAATTTTGAAAACCATTTATTAAATAAAACATCACAGAGATAAAGCGGTGCTCAAAACTGCATACTTTACTCTTTCTGGCGCGTGATTCCACTTGGAGTCATTTGGTGTTTGAAGCCCAGATTTTCATATGCGAACTTCGAATTTCTATGGGTGTACAAACCCCACGTGCAACTCTGCGTAGTAAAAGGACGGATAAATATGTTCCATTGTCCGGTACGAATTGCAATGTCTTGTTCTGCTTGTTTGCTCTTGATGAACTGTATTTGTGGTTCAGGGCAATACTGAATAGCTTCTGCCCATGTAACGACAAATGGAAACTTATTTATTCAGCGGCTTGTCTTTCAAGCTCTTACCTTCGCGCATTCGCGAGTAGACTTGATAAATGCGCCGATTCGCTATCTAATAATCCACAGAAGTAATTAATTTGACGTATTCCATCGGACTAAGACTGGACGTGCATGCGCGAATAAGATCTCACGAATAAGATCTTCAGTGAACGGCTAGAGAGGGGGGAAAAAAGAAGAAAAGAAATGGAAAGGAAATGAGACAAGGAAGAGAGATTTGTGGATAGCATCATGCTCTGCAATCAACAAAGAATCAACATCAACACAAACGAGCGCGGCACTGCGATCACAATATACTGCTGCTTTGCTGTCTTTGTTATTCTGAATCGGGGTTCCATGTCAGTGCTGCAAACAATAAAATATCTGCGAGTAGTTTTGACCGGCGGGAAGAAATCCGTGGGAATGCCGCGTGACGAACAAGGAATTGTTTCGCACGCGGTTGACATCGTAATTACGGGAGCTGAACAACGATCCCATCAAAATAACGGTAACTATCAAGAAATGGAAATGATCCGACTTCGCGCAGGAATTTTAAGCGCACGAAAATCCTGTAAAGCCTCGTTTTTTGCCCTCGTTTCCCCCATACGCAACTACACGTCATCAAAGGCTCATATTTTTGTGATCTCACCGCGAAGATTTCCCCGCCTGCCAGCGGATTCAAAAAAATGCATTCTCCTCTATTCTTCAGCCTGGAAAATTGTAGTCCGATTTTCTTTTCAGTGCCTCGTCAACAATCTTACAGTACAGTATTTTATGATTCTTCTAAATACTGTACATTTAAAAGTCTGATTTCGAAGCATGATATCTACTATTGAAACTACAGGTGAGCAGAATAATACACGTAAGAAAAACTGAATATCATAATTGCCTTCGTTTCTTCACTTCAAAATAAATCGGCTCAATATAGGAGAAAAAAACTTACCGCATGCATGCTCCAGGTACAGTACAATATACAAAGCAATGATTTCGAGCAATCCATCTCACATAAAAGCATAAGTTAATACTGTTTAATTGCGCTTTGGCTTTACATAACATTTGATTAGCATATACTTTTTTTGGGATACATGGTGTGTTGCTGATTCAGGTGATTCCTTGCTGCATACAAAGTAAAAAATGTCACAACAGAGCCATTGATGCATGAAAAGAGCTTCATTGCCCGTATAACGCAAAATTAAGTACACTATACTTCACTTAAATTGAAAAAAAAACATTGTGGCTATTGAGCAGGGGCTTTAAAAATTCATTTTGAGCCGTATAATTTGCTTTAAAATTCAAATTCACATGAGCAAACTTTTTGGATAATTCTTCCTAAGGAATCGAAATCACTTCCTGCAGCTTACATATTACGGGTTTAACAAATATCCTGCAAAATGTATAGCACACATTTCTTGGTTTGTATTTTTTGCGAGACTCAATATTTTGGCTAGACAGATTAATTCACACTTAACCAAACGAAATCTTCAATTACTTGAAGGTAAAATTGCATTTTAGTAGGGTTTGGAATTCCATGTGCGCCACACGCAAAATCAGAACTAAACAGCACAAAACATTGTGACTAACATTTCTTCTCGGAAAGTACCTTCCCAAAATGAAACTTGGAAGTTTAACTTTCTTTAAAAGCTCGATTTTTAAAAATTGTAGGTCTTATAAATCGCTCCTTATGCAACGTGG